GAGAGAGACTTGGGAACAAGTGTGGAAGGAAGTTCCTGGTTGTATCTCTGATTGTGCAACTTGGGTTCAACAGACTTTTCCAGATCTGACCTCATCCCTAAGGTCTTGACTCACATTCAGCTAATGACTTGATATCTAAGAGATGACCACTGGCTAACTTGAAAACAGGACTCTTGGTTTCCCCTGCCCAGACATCTCTTCCCTTGCTGCATATCATCCACCCAAGAACGCACGAGTCAATCTTAATCGAGGTCTTCTTAATCTCCCATGTCCACTCCATCAGCTACTTCTGTAGACTCCAACTCTAGCCATTTCCACCAAGTTCCAAGCCACCATCATCATCATCAGCCTGGACTCTCACAGTCCTGTCTAATCCAGCAGACTCTGTATTTACTTGCTTCCAGCCTTAGAACTTGGTGGAAGTTTTCAAGATGGCCACTGGTGTCTCATCACACTGGAATAAAGCCCAAGCTTGCTGTTATGGCCTACAGGGCCCCACGCCATCTGGTCCCTGCCTACCTTTGCAGTATTTGCCTGTTTCTCACTTCACTCCAGCCACTGTGACTGCCTTTCTGTTATTTGAACACAGCAAGCTCATTTTGCCTGAGGACTTTTTTTTTTTTTGGCCTGAGGACTTTGTATTTGTATCCCCTCTCCTCCCTTGGAACACTCTTTCTCCAGATCTTTCCATGGCCAACTCCTTCTCATCTTTCAGGTCTCAGCTTAAATATCACCTTAGAGACACTTTTTGTGATCACCTGACTTAAAGGAGCTCATCTGTCACTTTCTATCCCATCACCTTGTTTTATTTTTTAATGCATCAAGTTCTTATCGATGCCTCATCATTTCTTGGCCTTTTGTTCACTAGAACACTGACTTCTCATGAAGCGATTCAGGGGCCTCATCTGATTTTGACGTGACTCTTCCTGAGTCCTAGAACAGTGCCTGATCAAAGGAACCATTCAGAAAATGAATAAGTGATTTCAACAAAGGAGCTCTGTGTGCAATTCTGGTTCCATGGTCTAGGGTTGCTAAGACACAGATGAAAGTCCTACTGCGTTCAAGACGAAATGGAATGGAGACGAAGCCTTCTGCTTACCACAGTCTCTGTGCTTATCAAGGCTGTACCCGCACCTTGCGTATTCAGAAATTTCCAAAGATAATACATTTTTCAAACCCCATGCCAGCTTTACGTATGCGCCCACTCATTGTGACCCTCTCCAGAAATTCCCTGTGGCCCTCAACTCCTTGTAACTCAGCTATTCCCTTGTGGTTGTGCTTGTCAACTCTGGGCTTTAACGTTTCTATTAGCCAGATCAATGAGCTCTTTCCAAGAAGAAATGGCAAAGATGTGTGTGCCTTCCTCTGTCTGTACTGAGTCAGGCATCTGCCTACCTTGAGGGTAACCTCAACACTTCCTCCCCCAGCACAGTTTTCAGCCAACCTTGGGTGGCAGAATTTTGCAGATGTTTTCTGGAGAAAAGCTGAGCAATGAATTGCCATGGGCGGGACATTGGTTAATCTTCCTTGCCACGACTGGCCCTTTATATAGCTCTGATGACCATGGCAAACGTGTGGGTCTTGTTGCTGAAGCTACTGCCAGGGCAGACCTTGCTCTTATTCACCATGATCTCCCACACAGGTAACATTTCTCATGCACACTCCTCTTACTAGACAGAAATGAAGACCCTAGAGGGGCTTGACCCAGGGGTCAATGGCTTATGTGACTCACTGCAGCCGGGGTATCGGACCCACGTTACTCACTTCACTGTTTTCTTTCTCCAGGTTCCAAGAAGTGTGCTCTGTTTCTTCTGTGCTGTATGGGAACCTTGCTGTCTACCTCTACGTTACCCATCCAACCGACACCGTCACGACATCTGCAGAGTATAATTAAGGAATTACAGTACACTGCAAAGACAGTTTTGGAGAACTATGTAAGTGCTCTAGAGATTTCTTCAGCAAACCTGTTTTAAAACACGGTCTCGATTGCCCCTAGAAGTGGCCTGCTCTTTTCAAATCTGAAGATAGAGCTAAGCAGAGGCCAGCAAGAGACAGAATAAACTAGGCAGGTGATGACTGGGTGTTTATGAGAGTAAAGATATGTACTGACAGAGGTATCAGAGGCTGACTTTAGCCCAGATAGCCAGACGCTCCCTTATTTCTCATGTATTAAAGGGCTGACTTTAATAGGCATAGTGATTCACAGTAGTATTCAAGTTTTCCAGCCATCCTTAGAGATAGGCTGGCAAGCAACGAAAGCCAACATACACTGTGAAAGACCCCCCAGACAAGGCAGAACTCTCACATCAGTATGAGGGTCCCCTGGAGGGCCTCTTGTGACTTTATCTGTTGAATCAGGACACCGTCTGCTTCTATAAGGGGCTTTGCTGAGCCAGCCCTCCGTCGTGTACAGGGTAATGCTGTATAAAAGGGAAATGCATATGCCTTCACATCCTCAGGGTTGTCATCAAACCAGATCCAAACACCAAACCCACTGCTGCCAAGTCTATTCTGATTCATAGTGACCGCTAGGACAGAGAGAACGGCCCCTTCTGGGTTTCCAAGGCTGTAAATCTTTAAGGAAGCAGACTGTCTCATCGTTCTCCTGTGGAGTGGCTAGTGGGTTTGAACTGTTGACCTTTCAGTTAACCACTGAGTGCTTTAAATTCTGCACTAGGTCTCCTTGTAATCAAGGCAGTACCTCAGAAATAGCTTTTGGTGAACAAACAATAAAGATCACACAGTGGGAACAATTGTGAGGCTCCTTCTCTCTTTCTGTTCTCCCAACATTTGACTTTTAGACACAGGAGGCAAGCTTTTAGATATTAATATCCAATAATGTATTAAGATAGGTCTTTGTTGTTGGTAAGTGCCATCTAGTCAGTTCCGACTCATAGCGACCCTGTATAGGGTTTTCTGAGGAGCAGGTGGTGAGTTTGAACAGCCAACCTTGTAGTTCACAGTCCAGTGCTGATCCTACAGATCCACGCCAGGAGTCCAAAATATGTCTAAGCAATCTTTAACAGTATTGCTAATAAATCTATTTTCTCTGATGACATGGTACATAACCTTTAATAGTCTTCATACTGATTTAAAGGTGCCAAGATCCTTTAGGCTAATGAGGGGCTCAGAGTGATTCAGTCAAAACCCAAAGCTATTAGTCCTTAAGAAGGGGGAGAAAGTGGTCATGGGTACTTGACATGGCTGGAAAGACTCTCCCTAGGACCCGGGAGGCCTTGCAGACAAGCACAAAACCCCACTTGCTGAGGACCTCCAACATCACTGGTCTGGCCTGAGTGGCATCCTGAACCTGCCACTTGATCTTGGGGCCCCTCGGGAAAGCCAGCCACTGCCACACAGGGTGGTTGTGTTGACAAGGGGATGGCAAAGGAGATGCACTAAGCAGAAGCCAGCCTCAGACGGAGCACTCAGGTGCCGCTGTTGGGATTGGAGCTCTTACTGTGAATGTCAGGCTCAACTCTTCTTCCCTCACCCCACAGCAGAAGGAAGAGAAAGGGGTAACAGAGAGAAGCAGTTACAGGCTGCCTTGTCTGACCTCTGACCCCAAGCCCCCAAACAGCCTCAACAGCTCAGCCATCCTGACCTACTTCCAGACGATTCGCCCGCTAAGTCAGAACCAAACTCTCATCGATGAGATCATCAGACAGCTGGAGAAGCTCTGCTCTCAAGACTTGCCCAAAATGGAGGTTTCTGTACCTGAACGATCCTTTGAACGTAAACGCTTCATCTTTACGATTTTAAAGCAGTTTTCGAATTGCATGGACCAAGTTGTTGGACTCTGGATACCAAAGTCCAGTTAAGGCCACGTGGGTGACCTTGTTCCTTTTAGAATGACAGAAACGTACAGAGCCTCAAAAAGCTGACTAATGGGGCAGTGTGTGAACTCTGCTCTCAGCTACTCATTCTTCTTGCTGGCCAGTCCACAGACGGACGGACCAGCCTTGGAGGACTGAGCATTTTAAATGCTTCATTAACTTTTGAAAAAAGATTTCCAACTATGTCATTGTTATAATTTTGCTATTTTGAGGATGTTTTCCTTCTACTGACTAAAATCTTTCTTATTCTAACTATATTTTTATAAGGGCTGGAGGTGGCAGCTCTGTTAATTTATTGATATTTATTGTCAAAGAGTTATTAATGCTCTTTGAAAGAGTCCTCAGGGAACCTATTTAATAAATTATATTGATTTGTTCTAATGAGCTGTTTTGGATTTTGTGAGGGGGCTGAAGTTAGTGGCTGGGAATCCTGGCTGGCCAGTATGTGACTAAAGGACGTTGGGGCCTTCTGTCACTATTGTTTCTCTCCACGGCACAGACTCAATAGCAAATGACAACAACACCAGCAGCAAGAGCCATTCAGTGACTGTTGACTTGTCACTTGGTCCTGCCAATACCATGATTATCCCCCTTACACGGGGGGACACACAAGGATGTTTAGTGCCATGCGCGAGGCCACACTGCTGTTCAGTGGTGGGACCACGTTCAAGCTGGCGCTTCACCACTGGACCCAATGTTTGTTCTATTTTCGATACACCAGTTACCCTGGGTAGTGACGAGTTTGATACTGTTGTGTGCTGTTGGGTTGATTCCAACTCAGAGAGACCCCACAGGACAGAGAAGAAGTGCCCTATAGGGTTTCCTAATTAGTAATCATTATGGCAACAGATTGCTCCATCTTTTCTCCCATGAACCACTACATTACCAGGGCTCCCTCATCTGGGTCTTAGAGGTCCTCAGCATCATGCCTGACACAGAATGGCCTCTTATGTGTCCACAGCGAGAGTCCCTGGACTCTGCTATTTCTGATCCCGCAAAGGTCTCTTCCATCATCTCACCAGTGACTTCTGCAGAGCCAAGACCAACGTTTGTGTTCTTGAGCAGAACCTTGAGTCCAAAGCTAAAGGACCTTAGTTAGAGACCATCTACATGAATGGTTCTTGGAGCGTGGTCCCTGGACAGCAGATTCTGCCTCACCTGGGAACCTGTTAGAAATAGTAACTCTTGGGTCCCAGCCCCAAACCTACTGAATCCAATACAATGGCAGCACAGCTGGTAACCTGTGTTTAGCAAGTTTACAGAGCAAATTACTTTTCCATTCAAGAATACATACACATTTTGTCTCATGGCATTGGTGATAGTCCCTTCAATGCAAGAGCATTCTTCCCAGTTTCTCCCTGGGTTTCCCACAACTGTCACTCTTTTGGGCTGTCCAGTTTCAGGTCACCTCTATTATTGTTAAAGGTCTTACCTGAAATTGGGAAATGAAAAGGATGACCATATATCCTTTCAAAGAGTGAAAAAAGGGCAGGGGAGGGAGGAGGAAGAAAATTTCTTTGCAGAATTTCAATGAATAAACAGAAAGAATGTGAGAAAGAATCAAGACAAGACCCCGGGAATCATGGCTCCAGGCAAGATCCAGAGTTGAATGCTAAAATTCAGGGGTAAAACTTGGAGGAGAAATACTTCATTAGAATAGCTTCAAAGTATCATCCTCAACACAGTTATTGTCCACTGTGGTGCTTTTACCATGTGTTCACAAATGCCTTAGTACTCTTTCCTTCAGGTGGTGCCGAACCCCCCTACCTATAAGAGTCAGCTAGACTTGGTGACAGACTTTTAAGCAACAAACAACAGAAATAGGAAAAGAGCAACTTGATAGTGAAGAAACACGGCAGATTCTACCCTCTCTTACGATCAGGGTCAACACTGCCAGTGCTGAGCGGTGCTGATGTCACATACCTGCTGATGAGACAAGATGGGTCGGTCCTTCAGCTCTGCGATGCTCTTCCTACAATTCCATAACCCTATCCAATCGAGAATAAGGAGCTCTGGTAGCATAGTGGTTACAAATCGGGCAAGGTCAGCAGTTCGAAACTACCAGCTGTTCTGCGGGAGAAAGATGAGGCTTTACAGTCTCGGAAGATTTACAGCCTCGGAAACCCTGTACAGGGTCACTATGAGTCGGAACCGACTCCACAGTCCTTAACAACAACAACAACATCCAATCGAGAGAAAGCATGAGACAAACCCAAACTGGGGGCCATTCTACAGGAGTCAGCACTCTTCAAACAGGTCAGGAGCATGAGAAACAAGACACACACTGTCATAGATAGCAGGAGACTAAGGAGACAGGATAGTCTTACAAGAGAAAAAGATACTAGAGCGAAAAAAGAATCAGGGGAACTCTAAATTAAGCTCAGAGTTTAGTTAATAATGTTTTACTGATGTTGTTGTTGTTGTTAAGTGTCGTCGAGTCGGTTCCGACCCATAGCGACCCTGTACAGGGTTTCCGAGGGTGTAAATCTTTACGGGAGTAGAAAGACTCATCTTTCTCCCGTGGAGCGGCTGGTAGTTCGAACCGCTGAACTTAAGGTTCGCAGCCTGATTCGTAACCACTACGCTACTTACTGATAGTGTTTTAGAAAACATACCAAAATTAGGTAGGATCTCTAAATTCTTACATAACGAATGCCAAAGGTCATAGTTTAGCTCTTGTGGACTTGTTTTAATTTTCCTCACTTTCAGCCGGAACTTGCATATAAGCAATTGATAATCTGTTCCATGGTATGCCTCTGGCGTTGTGTTGGTTGATGATATGGAAATTTTTGACCCTCTCTTTCCACAGGTGTAGTCAATTTAATTTCGGTGTATTCCATCTGGTGAGGTCCATGTTTGTAGTTGTCTTTTATGATGTTTAAAAAAGATGTTTTCAATGAATAAATCATTTATCTTGCAAGTTTCTATCATGCAATCTCCAGTACTGTTTCTATCACCAAGGCCATATTTTCCAGCTACTGATCCTTCCTCTTTTTTTCAAACGTTTGCACTCTAATCACCAGTAATTATCAGTAAATCTTGATTGCATGTTTGATCAACTTCAGACAGAAGAAGTTGGTTGTTGTTAAATGCAGCTGAGTTGGTTCCAACCCATAGCGACCCTGTATAGGGTTTCTGAGGACTGGCTGGTGAGCTTGAACCAACGACCTTGTGGTTCAAAGCAATTTTGCAGTCCAGCACACTAATCCATAGTGCCACAAATTCTTCAATTTCATCCTCACTGGCTTTAGTGGTTGGTGCATAAATTGGACTAATAGTGGTATTAACTGGTCTTCCTTGTAGGCATATGAATATTATCCTATCACAGACAGCATTATACTTCAAAATAGATTTTGAAAATCTCTTTTTGATGATGAATTCAATGCCATTCCTTTCCAATTTGTCATTACCCGAACAGTAAACCACATGATTCACAGATTCAGAATGGTAAATACTAGCCCATTTCAGCCCACTAATGTCCAGGGTATCAATCTTTATACTCTCCATTCCAATTTTGACAACTTGAAACTTTCCTAGATTGATACTTCATACATTCCATGTTCTGATTATTAGTGGATTTTACAGCTGTTTCTCATTATGAGTTGTACCCTATCAGCAAATGAAGGCCTGACAGCTTTACTCTATTTGCATCATCGCGGTCCGCTCTACTTTGAGGGGCAACTATTCCCCATTTGTATTTTGAGTGCCTTCCAACCTAAGGGGCTCATCTTCCAGCAATATTGTTGTTGTTGTTGTTATGTGCCGTGGAGTCGGTTCCGACTCATAGCGACCCTACACAGGGTTTCCGAGGCTGTTAATCTTTACGGGAGCAGACCGCCTCATCTTTCTCCCGTGGAACCGCTGGTAGTTTCGAACTGCTGACCTCACGGTTCACAGCCCGATTCGTAACCACTACGCTACCAGAGCTCCTTTTCCAGCAATATATAGGACAATATATTGATGCTGTTCATAATGTTTCAATATTGAATATTCTGGTGCTATCTAACAGTGTTCCAATGCTAGTCATAAGGTTTTCAGTGGTTACACGTTCAGAAGTAGTCTTCCTAGTCGGCCTCTCCTGCTTCCTAGTCTGTCTTAGTCTGGAAGCTCAGCTGAAAGCTGTCCACCACGAGTGATCCTGGTGGTATTTAAAATACCTGTGGCATAGCTTCCAGCATCACAGCAACACGAAAGCAACCACAGTGTGATAAGTTGACAAATGAGAGATGGAAAATTTAGAGACCTGGACTGTGAACCACAAGGCTTACAGATCCATCGTGCCAGCCAATCCAAGGGAGAAAGATGAGGCTTTCTGCTCTCACAAAGACAGTCTCAGAAACCCTACATAGGATTGCTATGAGTTGGACAACCGTACATTGACCGAGAATATCCAAAGGTTCAAGCTGGATTCAGGCGAGGATGTGGAATGAGGGACATCATTGCTGACATCAGATGGATCTTGACTGAAAGCAGGAAATACCAGAAAGATGTTTACTGTGCTTTACTGACTATGCAAAGGCTTTTGATTTTGTGGATCATGACAAGCTATGGACAACATTATGGAGAATAACTATTCTGGAACACTTAGTTGTGCTCATGAGGAACCTGTACATAGACCAAGAGGCAGTTGTTAGAACAGAACAAGGGAACACCCAATGGTTTAAAATTAGGAAAGCTGAGCCCCAGGGTTGTATTCTTTCACCATACTTATTCAATCCCTATGCTGAGCACATAATCCAAGCAGCTGTATTATATGTAGAAAAACATGGCATCAGGATTGGAGGAATACTTATTAACAACCTGCAATATGCAGATGATACAACCTTACTTGCTGAAAGTTTGTTGTTGTTGTTGATGAAGATCAAAGACCACAGTCTTCGGTACGGGTTGCACCTCAATGTAAAAAAGCAAAAATCCTTACCACTGGATCAACAAATAATATCAAGGTAAAAGGAGAAAAGACTGAAGTTGCCAAATACTTCATT